TTTCATAAAGATAACTGTTGAAGATGAATACCCTTGGCGAACATGTAATATCTCTCTTCGTTCGATTATCTAATCATGAAAGAAAAAGAAATGGAATTCTTATAACGTAAAACATACCTTAACTCCTAATTCTGATCAACTCAAGACTTTTGTCACACTACACATGAGTCCAAAAGTCTCGCGAAGTAGGCCAAAAGTTGTATGATTAATTCATTCCATACGAAAAAAATTTAAATCAAATATAATTCTCGCGAAGTAGGCCAAAAGTTAAGCTATTGTCGTTCCTGAATCCCAATAGATGTGTTCAATCTCGCAGGAGAACAGCAAAATCCTTTGGATGTTTGGCTCACCATAACTAATACATTACCTAAGTATTATTTTGTACTTGAAAGTATACAACATTAAACGGTTAAATAAAGAGTAGAAAGATGAAGAAGGTTAACAATTATTCAATTCAAATTGAGAAAAAGAAGAAGAAAATTTTAATGAAGCAAAAAGAATTTCACCAACATATCTCATATTCCGAGCTCTCCAACTGCCACTCTGCCAGTCACTATGTGAATGCACCAATGACAAAAGAGCAAACTCAGTTTGCTATAACCCTTACCCAAGAAGCAGCAAAATAAGAGAGAGATCTTCTTTTGAATCCTATTGCCAAGTGAATTTCATATCTGCATATATAGCATTAACTTCTTTTTACTTCAACTTCTAATACTTCCTTTTTATCAAATTTTCCAACAGAATGAGGCGGACAATCATCATTCTGGATAACTTATTTAGCCTTTTAAAACAGAATTTTCTCCAAATAACACTTCAATTTATAATATTTTTAAGGCAACATGAATTCTCAAGTGGGAGAGCATGCATACATGATCGTTGTCTATTTATTGACGTCAAAACAGTCATGAGCATCTGGAACCTGAGGGGGCCTGTGCCGCGAAATTTATGTCCGGTGGTGGTCAAATCTCTTCATTTCTTCAAAAGTAAAACTGCGCAACAAAGAATAATATCAATACTTAAATTTAACCAATCATATCATTGTTAATAATTCTAGGAATTGAAGAAGAAGGATATTGCAACACAAAATAAGCTGGAGGCATACCCGTAGGTCGGTCTGTTTAGAATATAATTGTTGCACTTTGCATGGGTAGATATTAGAGGAGGACAAAAGACAGTGAACGATCGAAAATGGAAGCGTAAATGGAATTGATTACAATGCANATATATATATAGATTAATAGATTACTCAGACTTGTGTGTTGTTCCGAGCCAACATTAGACAATTTTTATTCATTTCAAGCATCAAATAGTTCCCACCATTGTCAGAAGTCATAATTTTCGATTGAATTCGAAGTCAAACGAACGATGGTTACCAACTTACCGTTCTGTATAACATTGAAATCGAACTTAATAATACCTGAACCATACCGAATTAATTCGATATGATAATGGTAGAATATTTTTAAAAATCAAAAATCAAAATATTGAACTGAAATTTAAAAAGTCATACTTTATCGTCCCCCATACTATGAACACCCCTAGTTGGAGTAACCACTTGGGTGAGGGTGAACAAAAAGTCAAGGAAAAAGTAAATTAAATGTACAATTCGTAAATACAAATTGGGTGAAGTTAATGGAAAGAAAAAAGAAGAAATGCAAATCTATAAAGAAACTATAGATTGGATACAGCACTTCCATATATTTATTACTTGAAATCATTTTCCAATTCGAAAATTGAATACAGCACTTCCATGGAATTCCAAAAGGCCAAAGAAAAAGAAAAGCTGAAAGAAAGAAAAGAAATCCACGAACGAAATTAAACAAAATAATGTCGCAGTTTGCAAAAAGATGCAAACAAATTTGCAAGGATGATGATCGCACAACAAATACATCATTTAAGAGCAAAGTTGACCGGTGTCCTTGCCTCAAATTGGGACATTGTCAACGAAATTTTTTTTATTTGTTTTTTGAAAAAAGGACAAAATTTGAATGGAAAAATCAGGATCAAGAAGCACGTATTTCTGAAAGGACTGCTAGAGAATAAAAGTCTAAAAAATTTAATTGAATGCATTAAATATATCTTCCAAATTGGGTTGGGTAATTACTCTAATAGCTAAATTATGAACTTTTGAGCATATATTTATTAGTTTATACGATTTTTGGTTAGTTTCGGAGTCCTCGGCGTCGTTTGAGGAGTTCTAGTGAGGTTGAAGAGCCGGATTGAGGACTTGAAATCTGTAACGATCCCACCTGTCATTTGAATGTTTTAGCCCTGATCCCCTATTTATTGCCTCCTCTATACTATATTGTGATTATGTGACTTTCTGGGGTATTTAGTTTTGGTTTCAGGTGAGTTCCGGAATGAAATGGAACACATAGTCCCTAAGTTGTTAGAGTTAACCGTAGTTTGACTTTTGTGAAGACGACCCCGGAATGGAATTTTGACGGTTTCAATAGCTCCGTATGGTGATTTTAGTCTTAGGAGCTTGTCCGGATGTTGATTTGGAGGTCTGTAGGTCGTTTCGGCAAGAATTGGCGAAAGTTGGAAAGTTGAAGGTTTGGAAGGTTGGAAAGTTGGATCGAGAGTTGACTTTATTGATATCGGGGTCAGATTCCGATTCCGCAAGTTGAAATAGGTCTGTAATATCATTTATGACTTGTGTGCAAAATTTGAAGTCAATCGGATTTGTTTTAGTATGAATCGGCATCAGTTTCGGAATTCGAAAGTTCATAGTTCATAGGCTTGAATTTGGGTGGCGATTCATAGAATCGATGTTATTTGATGTGATTTTTAGCCTCGAGTAGGTCCGTTATGTATTTTGGAACTTGTCGGTATGTTTGATTGAGGTCCCAGAGGCCTCGGGTGTAATTCAGACCATGTTCGACGCATTCGGAATCTTGAAGAATTTGCTGAAGCTTCTAAATTTTCTGATCTAGTTTCCTTCTTCGCGTTCGCGAGAGAGGTCTCGCATTCGCAAAGGGTATCTGGGGAGGCAGGTGAGGTTGTTCTTCGCGTTCGCGAAGGTAGACACGCGTTCTCTAAGGTAGGAGAAGTTATTCACCACGTTCGCATAAGGGGGGTCGCGTTCGTGTAGGTCTGGACTCGGTGTGCATCTCGTTTTCGCGAAGAGGATTTTGGCAGCTGTGTATTTTTGTGCATCGCGAACGTAAGGCACATTCCGCGTTCGCGATGAAGGAATCGTTGGGCAGCAGATTTAAGTTTCAAAGTCGAGGATTTATTTCATATTTTGGACTTAGAGAGTTCGGTGGGAGGCGAATGTTCGGAAAATTTTCAGAGAGATTATTGGAGTAAGAATTCCTAACTCGGTTTTGGTTAATTTACATGAAACTATTGATAATTTTATCATCTAATTAGGGATTTGAGTTGGAAAATTGGGGGGAAATGATAGAAACTTCTTAGGCTAATATTTGAGGATTTCAAAGGCGATTTGATGTCGGATTTGAGTAATTCTTGTATGGTTGAACTCGTTATCGAATGGGTGTTCGGATTTTATAAATTTGGTCGGGTTCCGAGACACGAGCCCAAGTTGATTTTTTGGGTTGACTTTTTAGTTCTTTGCAAAAATCGTAATTTTATTATTCGAATTAGTTTTCTATAGTTTATATTTATAGTATGAAGTTGTTTTTGCTAGATTTGAGTCGTTCGGAGTTGGGTAATAGGGGAAAAAGGCCTACCAATGGAATGATTTAGCGTGATTTGAGGTAAGTGACTTGCCTAACCTTGTGTGGGGAAATTTTTTCTTAGGATTGGTGTTGTTTGTGATAATTGTGATGTGTGAAAGCCGTGTACGCAAGGTGACGAGTGTGTGCACGGGCTAAATATGAAAATTACCGATTTTAGTTATGTAGAATCCTTTCATGCCTTAATTGAGTTATCTTAACATGTTAACCACTACCAGAAAATTGGCCTATGATACAATGGTTCTCCAACCGTTGCCGTAGACCACATATCGTAACAGTTGCAACCGTTACAATAGAATTTAGGTGATATCGGCATACTACAGCTATAAAACCGTTGCAATTGTAACAGAACCGTTGCCATAGATATTTTTATCGCAACAATATTATAAACCGTTNATAAAAATTAAGCTCAATATTTAATAAGTTAACTGACTCACTAATCACGGAAAGTACTTTTTTTATCCATCTCCATTCTCCCTTTCCAACATTCATCTTCTTCACTCCAAATGCTACCTAAATTCAAGATGTATTGATTTATACGTCTTTTATACTTTGTATATCAAGTATTACTTTAATTCAAAATGTATTTTTATGTATATAACTTTTGTATATTTATTTGTGAAGTGCCATCTTATTTTAAGATGTATTTTTAATGTATATTTCAAATATATTTTATATGTCAAGTGACATTTTAATACAGGATGTATTATATATATATATATATATATATATATGTATATTTATATGCCATCTTAATTAAATTTAAGATATAATTTTTTTATGTATATTTCACATGTCTAAGTGTCATCTTAATTGAAGATGTATTTTTCATGTATATTTTTTTATATATTTTATATGTGTTAATTCAATGTATATTTTTTATATATACGTTTTGTATATATTAGCGTATATTATTATCGAAGTAAGATCTTTATGTTAAGAAAGGAAGAAAGAAGGGGAAAAATTTTTTAAGAAAGATAATTAAAAAAAATGAATGGAATAAATTTAGAAAATATATTGGTTTCGGAAGAAAACAAAATTAAGAAGATGAAGAAAAAGAAAGAAAGCTAATAGATAAAGAGAAAAAAAAGGCATGATTTTTGTACAAAGAATTATTGACTTTTCATTCAAATTGCTTATGTTTAGGGATTAATAATTAATATTCTTATTTTAATGGAACTGTATGTTATAAATATAAATATTTTTCTGCTAATATTGAATTTCATGTTAATAATTTATTATATTTCTTTTAAACTGTGATAGATATATAAAGTTACCATTGCCCACTAACCCGTCTATGCATCCAAAGCATCAGATATCCCAAATCAAAACCTATTCTTTCACAAAATCCTCTTCTCTCACAAAATCATCTCCTCTCTTTCACTCTAAACTTCCAAAGTCCTTTCTCTTACAACAATCAAGGCAGCAGTGACTCAAGTCTTCATTTCCCCCAAAGATTTCCTTAGTATCATAGCAGAAGTTGATTTGGCTGTTTCGAGGCTGACGGCGAGTACTTCCCCAAACCAGGTGTACTTCCCCAAACCAGGTGTTCTTCCAAATCCCTAAATCCAACACCAGTTTTTCGACGCTGACGGCGACGGTAAGTGTTTTTGACGCCTTTTTTAATCTTTTCCTACTATCCTTGATTGTGTCAATCTATATTGCTTTTTTCATCTTTTTGTTGGAAAACATAAGGCATTTTGTTCAATTTTTCTAGGAAATGCTAAGTCGCCTACTTCTTGTTGCCTGCAAATGGGAGTTATGTTGTGCCTATTTAAGAGAAAATAGACAAAAGTACTGTCACAAAGATATTTTTTTGAATCTTTTTCTTTCTGGGTTAGTTTAATCGTAATTTTTTTTCAATCAAAAAAAAAATGCCAATCCCTAAAAAAAACGAACAAAAGATGGCAAAATAATCCTTAAGTTGAACAAAAGATAGCAAAATATTCGTTAAGCTTTAGAAGGTTCAATGCTATTGTGGTGAAGACATTTAGCTAGTTAAGGAATAAGGATCTTTTTTATGCCAAAAACTCGACTTTTTTTGTTACTTTGGGAATTATTTTTACGGCATTTTAGAAATATTGTTAGATCTGTTGAAAATTTAGCAGAAAATTTGTCAATAAAAAAGGAAGGAGAAGAATGAAAAATGCAGTATAGGTTTTAAGAAGAATGGTATTATGGGTCACTGAATTATAGGTATAATTACTTGAAAGTTACTTTACCTTTTAATAGTGATGAAGGTATTTCTCCAGTTAGGCTGTTATTCTGGACATCTTACATAGTTATCAAATTAACAAGATTGCTCAAGTCAGGGATTCATCCTCTTTCTTCTTTCCCATGGTCAAATTTTTTGAAAAAGTTTCACACTTTTTTTTTCTTAATTCTAATTCTATCTTAATACTTGCAGGGTAAAGTTTAACTTTATTACAAAATTATTGAATTTGATAACCAACGCAATGTTATATGCATCAGAACACCTTTTGCTCTAATTCGCGAGGTTTGATATTTTCTCTTCTTCTTCTTCTTTTTTTAAATTATGAACTTGCTAACTTTACATGGAAAGATTCTTATACCTGTTTTCATGTAACTAGGCAAAAAAGAAGGAAATCTTTGGTACTTCGGATATTCTATCAAGTAAGGACATCTTTGTGGCTACAAGAAAAGGAAAACTTGACCGAGTATACAAAAGCTCATATGTCAATACGATTAGTAAAATTGTAAGAAATTTCTAATTTAAAGTTTGTCGTGATTATTTATTTGTTCTTAATTATTGATTCAATTTTATTTACTTAAACTCTTTTCTCTCACATTTGTTTGTAGGCTGAAATGGAGAGACTACAATCAACTCAAGAAAGTGAAGATGGCAGCCATTCAGTTGACGCTTTTGCATCAGTCATGGGACCTGAACATCCGGATTGCGTGAGATTGTATGGACGAGGGGTTACCAAGACTGTCTTAAAAGGAAAAATAGGGAATCTTGGATCTTCTTTAGATGCTAATAATGAGAGAGTGCAGAAGAAAATGGAGGAAATGGAAGAGAGGATGCAACAAAGAATGCAGGAAAAGTTGAACGTACAAAAGGATGCTATGGAACAAGATATTATAATGAATGTCGTCGCACGACTTCAGCGTCTGAACCTAGAATTGCGACTTGATCCTGACATGCTAAGGTTCAGTGCTCGTTCACCTATAGAAGCTTCCTCTGCACAACAAGATGATGTTCAACTAAACAATCGACCATCTGCTGGTAATAACAATCAAGGTCAGTACGTACCAAATGTTATACATCTTCTTCTATTTCTTCTTCTTCTCCTCCTTCCTTGTGCTTCTTCTTCTACCAATTCTCTCTTTCTCTCTCTCGCGCAAAGTCTGAATAGTCTAGTAATGTTTTTACTTTGCCTATGGCACTTAGTCGCTGCATAATTCTGTGGTTGCCTAGCTAGTGTCATTACTATGATGCATATTCTTTTATGTTACCTTACCGGCTTTTTGTTGTTGTATAGTCGCTGCATAATTCTGTGCTAATTGGTAAATTTGTTGCATGGGGGAGAAGATATTCTGGGTAAAAGTCTGATTTATTTAAGGATTCTATCTTGGTGGCTTTTACATATTTTAGCCTTTAGGGAGAAACAAATTCTAAAGATTCTATCTTGGGCCTCTGTTGGATTTGTTATAGAAGATAAATAGAAAGTTGGGGTGGACTTAAAATGTTGTCTGTAGTATTGCCTGAACTAACTTCTAAAAGAAATACTGTACTTATTTAATATTTGGAAGCTTTGAGAAAATGTTTAGCTTTTCTTTGGGTGACTGACTTTCAAATGTTTGAGAGGAAAGACTTAGAACAGATACTTTGTTCTAAGTCCTTATGTATGTATGGTGCCTACAGAATATTAAAACTTTCTTGCCTTTGTTTCAATCTTGATCACTCAACTTTCATAGGCATTGAAGATTATATATAATGAAAATGAAAAGTGAAGAAGATTAGAGTTAATTCATGGCCTAGCTTGACTAATTTTTTAAATCATTCCTGTTTTTGACATTTTTTAGATTATGTTGAATTATATCAAATCCATTTTTGGTTTTGAAACGAGTAGTTCTTGATAAAACTGGGCGAGTTTTTCTTTATATTTTAATTGAACACAAAGGAATAATATTTGATGACATAACTAGAACGATCACATGAGATCAGGTTCACAACTCTAAATCTTTCAATATGCATTTGAGTTTATGTCAGCAATGCAGCAGGTTCACAACTCTAAATCTTTCAATATGCATTTGAGTTTATGTCAGCAATGCAGCAGGTTCACAACTCTAAATCTTTTCATATGCATTTGAGTTTAACTTCTATACACCGATGGGATCACCTAAAAGATAATTATAAGGAACTGCCCATACACTTGGAAAATAAGGTAGGCAATTTGATAGTTAGATTGGAATTTACCCTGATGAAATCCCTTGTGGGCTTATAAAAAGAAAGATATCCGTTAGGTCACCTATATTGAGTTATGGACACACAAGGCCAAAACATGTTTGCCGGGCGCGCGACCCATCAACCTACTAGCAATGGGGGAGAAAGCATAGCATGTTGCAATAAAAGCTTGATTCGAGGCGTCAGCAAAACACTATCGTCTGTTCCAAAAACAAAAGCCCCTTAGCGCCCCGGGGCGGGAGTGGGACACGGCCCTACGTGCAGGCAACAACAACACCGGCTCTACGAAGTTAGAATAATCCAGCTTGGCCCAATAATTCACCAATCCGCCATGGGATGATATAACCCCCTTTGTACTTCAGAAATACTCGATTCGGAGATAAAAAAGAATCAAATTTTCTGCTAGATCCCGTATTTCCCTGAGATTGTAGTTCAATTGGTCAGAGCACCACCTTGTCAAGGCGGAAGCTGCGGGTTCGAGCCCCGTCAGTCCCGATGTATCCAATAAATATATCAATAAATCTCTCCCTTTTATAAATTTTATGAAGGGAACCTGGGGCGGAATTTCATTGTCAAAGCAAAGGGGAAATCCTTATTTCTTTCCTTTTGGTAGGAGAAAGACATATGCGGTTGGATTAGTACCAGTGTACAAAAGTTAAATTCTATGCATTTCTAGTTTGTATGTCTCTTTGTGGTGTCTTATGATAACATTAAAATGCAGTTATATGCATAGCTTAGAACACACACAGCCACTAGGCACACAAACATGCATTTCAATTAGCTGATGACCACAAAACAGGATAACTTTAGCTAAAGCCCTAATGCATCTATATCAAAGATCATTACCTACAACAAGAACAAAACCAGAGTGGCACAAAGTTGCAAGGCTGATAATCCTCCTCATGGCACTTTGTGCTATGAGCATTCTTAGACCGGATTCTCTTGAAGGTTAATGACTTTATTTATCCTCTTTTGTAGGTGGAGTAGATCAAGAAATGGAAGAAGATGATGGCAGTGAAGAATTAGACCTTACTTGAGATGAATTTTGAATTGCTATAGATGAATGTTCTATGGAAATCTTTTGTTATCAACATTTTTGAAACTCTCTCTCTTGAAATGTATTAAACTTATGCATTTGGGTTAGAACATTTATTTTATGGATATTATTTGCTTGATAGATAATTTATATTATTAATAGTTTCATTTTATGACTTATTTAAATTTTAGTGTTATTATAATTTATTATATATATAAATATTTATTTATAACAGGGGCTATATTTTTGTTTTAACTGAACTGTTACAATAGCCTACTAGAACCGTTGCAATAGGACACAAATGACGTTCCATTAGACAATAAAAACCGTTGTAATATGTCCTATAAACCGTTCCAAAATGATCTATAAACCGTTCCAATACAAATAAAATCGTTATGATAGCTTAAAGAAATCGTTGTTATATCCATACATAACCATAACAATAGCTTACATAAGTGTTGCATTAAATAATATGATAACGGTTAAGAACCGTTGCATATGCAATATAGTAACGATTTTTAAACCGTTCCAAATGGAAAAAATAATCGTTCCAACAGAGAAATGGAAAACCGTTGCGATAGACGTATCTATAGCCACGACGACGCAAACCGTTGCAAGAACCGTTCCTATAGACCTATTGACAGTCTGTGGGAACGATTTTCCATGCGTTACCGTAGACCAATTTTTCAGTAGTGTACATTCATCATTCTTAATCTATTTTCACATGTCTACTTGTCTTATTATCTTACATGCTAATTGCCCTACATGTTTAGTTGAAGTTCGTGTTTCCTTTATTCCGCATTCATTACTTAATTGTTGAACTCTTTACTTGAAGTTGTTAAATCGTGGAATATCTTGTTGTTGAAATTGATATTGAGATATAAAGGTCATGATTCATATTGCGGCAAAGTATTAAGTTGTGAAATACCATTCTGTTGAATTGTTCATTCCAGTTGTTATTGTTGAGACTCTTGTGTACTTTGTGGTTGAGCCATAGGCTCTTTACTATGAAACTACTATTATTGTTTGGTTTCTCTGGCAAGTGGTGATATTGGGCACTTGAGGTGCGATCTGTGGTACGTTATGATATTGATACGCATGCGGTGATATAAGGTTTTGGGGTTGAAATGCATGAGGTGAGATAAGGTGGGCTTGATACACATGGCTAGTAGGGGAACTACTAGAAGTCATGCGGTGTGATAAGGTGGGCTAAAACGGGGGATGCTATTTCGGAAAAATAATTTTTAAAATTAAATGTAAAGGCTCCCGCGGTGATATAAGGAAAGATTGTGATTTATTCTTGTGATTTGAGACTACGAGGCGGTACCTCGTTAGTGACTCTTGTTGGCATTTCTCCATTTTTGCACTTGTCTTTGATTGTCGTTTCCTTAGCATATTATTTTTTTTTCTCTGTGTTGCACTAATTACTTTAGTTCTGTGTAGCTAACCTTGATATGCTATTTGTTGTTTTAATTTCATTATTGTCATTATTACACTGCCTTATAGTTGTTCAGTCTTTTATTTATTCCAGTAGGGTCTTGACCTGACCTCGCTTCTGCACATCTTTTTGTGTAGATCCAGGTACTTCCTATCAGTACCGGCACTAGTGAGCTGAGATCGCATTTGGAGACTTCAAGGTACACATGCCCGCGTCCGAAGGCTTCGGAGTCACCTTCTATCCATTTATATATTTTTCCTTCTTTACTAGATACAGTTATATAGGGATGATTTTGATACTGTCATAGAGCTTGTGACTTGTATTTTACTGGGTTTTGGGCTATTGTATATATATTGAGCTGTGGAGACTTTTTCTTGTGTTAGTTGTTGGGTTTTGAGATTTTAAATTATTGTTTCAGTTATTTTCGCATGTTTGTTAGGCTTACCTAGTCTTAGAGACTAGGTGCCGTTACGACACCCTACGAAGGAAAATGGGGTCATGACAGAATCGAAGTAAGTCTCTTGCCTAACCTTGTAAGAGGGAACTTATCCCCTTAGGTGTATTAATTATTGTGTACAGCTTGTTATGGAGAGCTACGTATGCACAAGGTGACGAGAGTTTGTACGTAGCTATATTCATGACATGTCCGGGTAGACATAAATTAACATCAAGCCTTTAATTGTGCTATTTTATGCCTATCCTGTGTATTAATTATCTTGATTAGGACTGAGATTGAGGCTTTTAATTAAAGACATCGACATAGTCTCTTACTTTAGCATAATTGGGAAATATTTGATGCATGATGGATCTGTGGCTTCTCGTCTCGCATGTGTTTTCGCGAGCGAGGTAAATTTTTCTACTCTTATGGGATCCGGTCGTTCGCCTCGGAAGCAAAATAAATTACTCTTATGGGATCGGGTCGTTCGCCTCGGCAGGTTGGTAACACTATTCTTATGGGATCGGACCATTCGCCTAGGCAGTACTGAGTACCACTATTCCTATGGGATCAGGGCGTTTGCCTCAGCAGCTTCGTGCTTAATAAATGGAACTGGATTTGGTTTGGTAACAATTGAGATAGCGCCTTCAAGGCCGATTATGACATGTTTAGTAATTTGATATAGACTCATGTGTGTGGAATATCTGTTGTTACTTTTATTTGCTTCGTTGCTACTTGTTGTGCACTCACCATGTCTACTTTATGCATTTATACTACTATTGACTTCTAGTAAGCGTCAAGTCGGCCCCTTGTCACTACTTATACGAGGTTAGACTAGATACTTATTGGGTACGCATTATTTTTCGTATTCACACTACACTTCTGCACTGAATATGCAGGTATTGAGACAGGTACTACCAGTGGTCACGCGGGCGCGTAGCCGATCATCCATGGAAACTTAGTAGTGAGCTGCTTGCCTTGCTATGATCTGCAGCACCGGAGTCTCCCTCTACCTTGTTTATTATTTTTGTCTATCACTTTCAGATAATAAGTATTAGTTTTGTATGTTCTCTAGATTTCTCATGCACTTGTGGCGCCGGGTTTTGGGGACTTTTAGTATTTATGTATTGCTACACTTATCATTTCTATCACTACAGTGGATGTACTTATCACGCTTGTATTTTGTTAAGAAAAGAGTATGCACGGTTGCATGAGATCTTATTTATTTTGTTCTTTTAAAAAGAAAATGTTTGTCTCAAATGTTAAAAAGGGGTAATTAAATTATAGTTTCACTCGTGGGCTTGCCTAACGGAGGCGTTAGGTGCCATCACGACCTATTATTGGTTTTGGGTCGTGACAACAAGTGACATATTCTGGACAATCAAATATGGCCTTGTCATGCTTGATTTGATTGGTCGGAAAGAGTTTGTTCTCATCACTACTCTTCCCTCCCACAACTATAAATAGAGATCTTCATAACTTAGAAAAGACATTAGAAGTTATAATAAGAAGAAAAAGAGATCTCGTGGATCAAACGCCGCACATTTCTCTACAAGTTTCAAGCTTCAAGCAATCAAGTTCAAATTCAAGAAATCAAGTTCAAGCTCAAGAACAAAGAACAAATCAACATTCAAGGAGTACGAGTTCAAACCAAAGTTCGTGCTAGTTGAATTCAAGATCATCGTTCGTGGCAACAAATATAGTTACAAGATCAAGCTCAAAGACCCTTGAATTTATTTACTATTGGAAAGAAGAATTGGAAGAATCATAGAGATTGTAACACTCATATTATTTAAAATAAAATATTATGATTGTTGTAATATTTTTCGGTCTCGATTATATTTTCTTGAAGCAAATTTATTATCTACACTAATATTTCAGGACATTCTGAAGATGAAATCTTGAATTCTTTGTTAATTGTGTTGTGGAACCATTGAACTTTTTGTGATAAAATAGTGTATCAACACCCATGCTTTATGACTTTGAACTTTTGTAAGTTTTTTCGTTGATTTAGTCAAGAGTATACGATATTCTCTAATTTTTCTCTTATATTAATAATCTGTAACAGATATGATAACTAATATGGCATGTAACATCTAAATAGTATATATCAGGGGTGTACAAACCGAACCGAAAAATCGTACCAAACCGAAAAGTCAAACCAAACCAATTAAAAAATCCGACTTGGTTTGGTTTGATTTGGTATGGTATTGAGTAAAAAATCCGAACCAACCCGACATATAAATATATAATTTTTATATAAAATTTTCTTTAAAAATATCTAGAAATATTTGGGATTTTCTTGCGGGATATAAATTTTAATAGAATATGAAGTGCTCCATTTATTGACCTTAAATAATGGGTTGTATGATCATTTTCTTATCAAGTGTTACTGAAATGCGTCTATCTCTTTGTTCTTTCATAGTCATATCATATGTTAAGATCTATTAAATTCTTATATCTTTTTCGAATGTGAAGTGATTATTAATATTTATGTATCATATTGATTTTTATGTTTAATTACTAAATTCGGTTAACCTGAAAGTGTACATCAACAAAAATTTATTGTCAGACGACTAAAAAAAATAACTATTATGTGTTACTAATAGAATTCTCCCATAAGAATATTTTAATCGATAATATTTTTGTTAATTTTTTATATTTTTACTAAATATATATTTACTTATCAAATATTTAAAAAAAAGTAAGATTGAAATAATATTTAAGTAACAAAAAATTCAAAAAACCCGAAAAAACCGAACCAATGCAAACCGATATAGTTGGTTTGGTTTGGTTTTGATAAAAATCGAATCAACCCGGTCCATGTACACCCCTAATATATATTGCATAAGTGTCGAGGGTGCCTCGTTAACAAGTGAAAAGGAGCATAAAAAGACAAAAGGTACACATTTGGGTATGATTAAAAAAGATGAACCAAACCGATAATAATCAAACTTTGATAAATTTGCATTACATTTGGTTTGGTTGATTTTAATAACTGAAAACGAATTAAATTAGTTTGATTTTGATTTTAACCGAAAATCGACTAAAATAGACCTGACCCGAGCTGTGAATGTAACGACCTGACCGGTCGTTTTACTTTCTAGAACCTCGTTCCCCTAAATAAGACTCTCCGTATGTACTTTTACTATTTTATGACTTGCGGGGATGGTTAGTTTGAGACTTGGAAGGGTTCGGGTTGAAATCGGAATACTTGATTCCTTAAGGTTGGCTTAAAAGGCCAAGTTTGATTTCGGTTAATATT